ACTTATATATTTTTTACATATTATAACAAAATGGAACTAACTCGATCTAAATTACAGACTTGTATTTAAACCGCGACCTACCACAAGCTTTTCTGATAAATATTATTGAACCAAACTAAATTATATATGTTGCCAACACGTGACACATCTAGCGTGTAACATTCTTGTTGAACCCCATACCCCTAGGTAATTTTAGAATGTCAATTAATTTTTTTTTGAAAATTGATCATCCCACGTGTTTTTATCAATCTGCTGCGTCCAAATAAATGCCTTTTTATTTTTGTTTTATAAAATTGATTTGTTCACAATAGAAAAAAATGTCAATTTTTACCATCAATGGTGTTAAAATTTTATTTTATATTAAAAGCAATGTACCTGACAGTATGGATATCAGACGATTTATAGAGGTGTGTATCAATGTGATGATGATGGTGGTGGTGATTATTGCATGGTAAAAGGGCGTTAAAAACGCCAAAAATATTAATTTATCATAATAAATCTACTTTGTTAATAACAACAATGATTATAATAAAAATAGAATAATGGAGGAAATATTGTAGATAAATTAGAGAATGCACATTGGATTTTGAGTGATTTGTCAATATTACAAACTGTTCAAAATCAAACTGAAATGGACAAATTAATGTCATATAAAATAGTACTTGATTCTGTAAATAAATATGAGCTTCAAAATCCAGCTGATTATAAAGGACTTTCGAATGTACGAATACAAAAACAAGCACAAAATCAACAACTACCAAGCGTTCAAAATAATCAAAGAAATAATGAACGACGGCAAAATCAACAACGAACAAAAATCCAAAGTCGTCAAAAAGATCAACAACGACAAGATCAGCCAAAAACTCGAGGGAGTCAAAAACAACAACAAAGGTCACAGGCTCAAGATCTTGATGATCCAGAATTTTTGGTTGCCGATGATAATCAACAATCCAAAGCTCAAGGTCATCACCAAGAGAATCAACAACGACAAGATCAGTCAAAAATTCAAAGGAACCAAAAACAACAACAAAAGTCACAGGATCAAGATCATCAGCAACCAGAAACTCCAGATCATCAAGATAATCAACAATCCGAGGCTCAATGTCATCACCAAAAGGATCAACAACGACAAGATCAGCCAAGAACTCAAAGAAACCGAAAACAACAACAAAAATCACGAGTTCAATATCAACAACCAAAAGCTCTAGATTATCAGAATAATCAACATCAACAACCAAAAACTCAAGATCATCATCAAAAGGATAAACAACGACAGGAAAAATCAACAACTCAAAATAATCTGAGAGAACAACAACCAAAAAATCAAAGTAATCAGCAACAAGAGCAATTACGAACTATTAAATTTGGTAAATTATCATCATCATCAACTTCATCGTCATCATCAGTTACCTTTACTAAGAATAGAACCAAAAGTTCATCAGGATCAAATAAAACTATTATCAAAAGTAATAATTCATATAATGGAAAACGCACTGCCAACGTCATCAACAACAATTTAGATAGACCATCAATGTCACAATCCACCAATAAAAGTGCTAAAATTTATGAAATTCCCGATCCAAGTTTACTGCCAGTATCACTCCCGTTATATCCATCCTATGAACTAATTGAAAATAATGAAGATGACGATGAAGTAGCAGAAGTAGCAGCTGGAAATGAAGATAACGATGAGGAAAATTACAATGATACTTTGATTGTAAGAAAGCAACAACAAAGATCATTACCATATCCTACGATTGAAACTTTTTATTCTAAAAAAAGAAAATACAAGAAATTAGAAATTAGCAGCGATGAAGAGTATAATAATGTCGAAGAAAAGATTTTATCCGCTTCAAGTGAGTCCGAGTCTGAGTCTGAATCGAAATCGAAATCAACGAATCATGACAATAAAAATAATATTAATAATAAAAGAATAATGGCTCAATCACCACCATTGAAATCAACACAAATTTTTCCACTGTTGTCGTCATCTATCAAGTCAAAATCAGATTCATCATTGCTCCCAGTATCACAAGGATCACCTCCATTACATCCTTCGATGCAACAAATGTTGCCATTAGCACCTTCATCACCATTTACAATCTCATCGCCGGAATCATCGTCCAGTTGTCTATCACAGCTGTCCAATGAAGATTTTGATTACATTATCAGTCAACAACGATCTTCAATATCAATTTCTTTTCAATCTTCTAGCTCTAGGTCACCATCAATTATTAGCATAGACGAAGCCCAAGTAAAACGTCCTAATAAATCTGAAAATCATAATAATAATGTTGAACATAATAATAGTAATGAACATGATAGTGTTATTGTTAATGAATACAATAATAAGAGTCAAGTTGTTAAAGATCATAATGGCAATGATATCTTGGTAGTAAATAGTCAAGTAGAAAAGCGACCATTGTCACAAAATGAATCAGACATTAATACCAAATATGTTCAAAAGAAGAAGAAGATAAGCCAAAAAACTGTCGAGTTTTAAAGCAAAATAGAAATATTTTCTTCAAAATGCCTAACAGTAAAAGTCTGTGTTCATACAATTTTAATTGACAAGTTGATATTATTTCTCTACTTTTTTTATGTTGCAAAGTGATCAGTTATATTTACCAATTTCCAGCTCTGGGTATCGTCATCTTATTTGAACGATGTATTCAAATAAAAAATTCTTTTCTATAATTGTTATGTTATGTGCGTAAAATTTTTTGAAATTAATAATTGGGAATGCATTGTTAAAATTTTCTTGATTACTTAATGGAAATAAATTATAAATTAACCATATGTGGTAACTGCATAATGTCAGGAAGTTAAACCCCAAAAGAAAATCTTGAAAAAAATCCTTGATAAGTCGGTCGGTCAATCTTTATAATAATAAGAAATAATAGTTATTTTACGGGAAACCAAAGGTATTAATATCATTACTTATCACCACGGTTTCCTAATTAACTCTATAATGATAAATATCATCCGTGGAACAAAATTTGATATTTTCATGGATTAAAAAAGCTTATAGGATGATAATTATTACTAATTACGATAAGTCGGTTTCACGTGATATTTACTCACATGACTATTTTCGAATTTTTGATTGGTGGGTAGTTTTTGTTACACGAATGAAATCAAAGCTCGTTTGCAGTGGGCAATACTCCTGACTCTCGTTATATACAAGGAATTAAGCCTTGTTCAACGAATTATAATTAAATTCTTAACGAATTTTTTTAAAAATTTTGTTACACATTATGAAAACTTTGTTGAAACACGATTAGTAATCTTGTTTCAACGAAATTTTCTTATATGCTCAGCCACTTTGTTGTAACAAGGTTATACTTATATAACTGAGGATTCAGTTTTGGCTGTGTATGCTTATTTACTAATTAATAGATTATAAAATAGAAACGGCTGGAAGATTAATGATGATGATGAGGACAAAAATATGGGTATTCTAATATCAAATATAATTGCAACAGAATTCCAATATAAGGCAAATAGTTCAATAGTATCAGAAATGAGAGACTTGCAACATCAAATTAGAAAAAACAAAATGCTTCTCTAAAGTAACCTACTATCTACCTTGGGAGTTTTATAAATTTTGATAAATTTTTATTATTATGAAATTTGATAACTCGGTTTACTTGACAAGTATCCCTGACTGACTTATCAAGTTTACGTATGTTTAAAATTAAAATTCTAATTTGAACCTAACCTAAAAAAAATGGCATTTCATTTTTCTTGGAAATTAAGGATAGTAATAATTCGAAATACCAAAATTTACTAAATGCAATTTTGGAAATTATCTGCAAAAAAATTTATTCATGGCACAATCAAGTTCCTACACCGCCAATCTTAACCTTCCTCAACTAAAAAAAGATAATAAATAAATAAAATGATTTATTTTCTCGTTAAACTTTTACTCAGTGCTTATATATTCTATATTTATAAGAAGACACTTTTATATTTCGCTGAAGCTCAAGAAAAAGAATTACTAAATCTTGAGGAGGAGGAGGAGGAGGATCGCGTTGTGAGTAATAATGAGGATAGTGGTAATATTAATGGGAAAGACAATATTATCATGGGTATTAAAGATTATGAGAAAAATAGCATCGTTATGAATAATAAAGATGGTCAGGAAGATAGTGTTTCCATAAATAATAATAACTATGACTTTAACGTGAGCAATCATGATGATGACGATGATAGTATTATCACGAGTACTAATATTGGTGAGGATGATAGTATTAATGTAGATGATGTAGTTAATGATAGTATTACTCCAAGTAGTCATGAAGCAGTTAAAGATAGTCTTATCATGTGTAATAATGTAAGTAATATTGGTGATGCGGGTGATAGTGATAAAATGTGTATTAATAATGGTCAGGACGATAGTATCATTGTGAGTAATCATGATGATGATAATAATTTTAAAGATGATAGTATTGTTATAGATAATAATAATGAAGATAGTCTTGATGTATACATTAATAACTATAAGGAAGAAAATATGAAATTGGCATCTGAAATTTCGAGACTTAATGATGAGCTTGACAAATTGAAACAATCAGAATGCATTAACAACTATAAGGAAGAAAATACGAAATTGACATCTGAGATCTCGAGACTTAATGATGAACTTGACAAATTGAAACAATCAGAATACATTATTAACAACTATAAGGAAGAAAATACGAAATTGGCATCTGAGATCTCGAGACTTAATGATGAACTTGACAAATTGAAACAATCGGAATACATTAATAACTATAAGGAAGAATGTACGAAATTGGCATCTGAAATTTCGAAACTTAATGATGAACTTGACAAATTGAGACAATCAAGCCAACAGAAACAAGAAGACAGTTCTATGATTAGTATGTTGAAATTATGTCTTAATGATTCAAACAAGCATCTTAACAAACTTATTGAAGAGTTGAAAACGGCTGAAAATGAAGCCCAACACCTTAAATTGCAATTAAATGATACCAAAGGCCAGAATAATAGGCTTGAGACAGATTGTGCAAAACTATACCAAGAAAAGGTTCAACTGGAAGCAAGTAAAAAAATATCCATTGATGAAAATATCAAACTTGAAGATTATAACAAACAATTAAATCATAAGTTAATAAAATTACAAAATTATAAAAGTATGTCAGATTATTCTTTCGATCGTTTAGAAACGATCAATAATGACTTGATGAAAAGTAATGTCAAACTAGACTCACAATGTGCTATCAACGAATCTATAATTGGAGGACTTGAACATGTCGTTAACAGTCAAACATATGAAATAAGAGAATTAAAAGAAAAGATTGACAACCACCAATGTACCTCTTATATGAATAAAGGAAAAGAAAAACTGTCAGTACAGGAAGATTTATTAAAAAAAATCTCATTTTTAGAGAAAGAGCATTTGGAAAAGGATGAAAAAATTGAACAATTTGTGTCCAGGTCTAACGATCAAGAAAAGGAAATAGCCCGCTTGAAAAGTATGTACAGTAAAAATGTGGGAAAATTAGAATTAGAATTGGATAGGGAGATAAAGATTAGTGAAGCGTGTGTTAATAAAGTTTATAAATATAATGAAATTATTCGAACTTTGATAAAGGAAAATGAAGATTTGAAAAATCTTAGAGAAAAAGAACAAGATGAAAAAGCAAAACAAGTAATCAAATGTAAGATCTGCTTTGAGGAACCAATTACTCATTGTTTCTCACCCTGTTATCATTTTGTTGCATGTGGGAAATGTGCATCGAAAGTTGAAACGTGTGTGGTGTGTCGTTCTCAAATTATAGAGTACATCAAGATTTATTTTTAATCTATATAGTAGATGATTATTAATTTTTAGACAAGTCTTTCAGATAGTTTTTTTTTATTTTATATTATTATTATATTATTATTATCACTTAATTTCTCCTCTCCCCCCCCCCCCACTAATTCTTAGAAAGAGACCGTGATACGGCATTTTATAAATAAATAAATAAAGCTTATAGACCAAACAAAACAGTAAAAAAGATAATTATCTTTAATTAATGTAATTCCAAAGTAAAATCCAACATGTTATGATGAATCTCTTTTTTTCGTCAATAATTCCTGATGTGCAACTAGATTCCCTAACACAATGGTCTTGATTATGCCATTAATACCAGCACCTTCAAACACATCCATGTGTTTTGGGTGATTGCTTATATCTCCAAGTAAATTCAATGACAGATTTGAATTCTGAACCCAACTTACTCATTACATTGTGATGATGTTGTGAAATTTCTAAAGGTTGATGACCGAGATTTTTGACCCAGCGTAAAAGAGTCAAATAAGTGTTTGAATATTATGATCCTGTTTAAAATTTTTCAATAAGTTGTTGGCACAACGTGACAAAAATTTAGCCTTGGCAGTTTCCATGCGATAATGTATTTCCCTAATTCTGATTTGGCACTTTCTATATCGTTTATTAGATATAGTTTGCATATGGGAACGGTGGTTTTTATTTCTGGAAAGAAACATCCAACAAGTCGATAGTCATCGTTATATTAGATTTCAAAGGAAGTAAATGTCCAACTAGATAATTTGACTTGATTATTTATTGCGTAAAAAAAAATATAGAATTTACATTGTTTTTACAATATAATTTGTTTGGATCTAATCCTCAGTACATTCAATAAAGTACTCATTACAAACTCTCTGCAATAAAATCAAAATGATGAAATAATCACATAAAACTTGATTATGTTAGCTGATCGATATCTTGAGTCTCCAACATCTGTCAACGCCACCATTACACGTCCCAATTGTGTAAAGGTCAAAATGTTTGTTTCTTGTTGAATAAAGTAAGCAAATAAAAATCCACATGCTGGTTTATAACAATATTTCATGTTTAATGATTCAAATGTAATTTTTTTTATCCATTATTGTATCATCAACGTCAAATTCTTGTGTAAAAAGATTATAATAATTGCCTTGGATTAATTACATTAATAAAATACAAAATAGTAACTCCTGTTTTCATTAAATATATTATTGCTCAACTGAATTTATATATTGATTGTGAAGATGATTACGATTATTGAAGATGGAAGATGGATTATTACCATATATGGGGCGTGGACAGCAGAAAAGGCCGAATTTTGATTTTTGGTCATTTTTGAGGTAATGACATCATAATTACATATTATTATAGCTGTTTTAAAAGATCTGCGGTCTGAAACCCTTTTTCTAAAAAGCATGTTTTATAAAAATCCGGCTATTTTTGCTGTCCATATTAATATTATTAATATCTGATATGCGTTGAAGATTTAGATCTCTCCTTTATAGGTAAGATCTTCGTGTTTGAATTAATTGCGTTCTCAATTTAGGAAATTGGTCAGCAAAGTTCTGTACAAAAACGGATAAATACCACATGTGATAATTAATTTACCCACCCACTGAAAATTTTCAAAGACAAAAAATAAGTCATGTATATCTCATTATCTCATTGTAAAGAACTTTTTAACGTTAATAAGATTTGGGATCACCTTGAATCATTATGACAAAATTATACATGAATTAAAAATCTATCTGTTATATGCCTCTAATATTTAACTAGTTAATAATCAATAAACAAACTATCATCTCTGATAAAAAAAAGGAAATCTTTTAAATGTGATTTTTGAGTAATTATTAGGTAATTATGATGACAAAGAAAATTATAGAAAGAAATGATATAATCGTAACATCATTTTTATTGGTCTTAAAAATTCTCAAGGTTAAAAAAAATCTGCGAAGATCTCAACGTCAAGTAATGTTATGACGTAAAAGATCCTTTCATTTTTAATTATTATGTCATGGTTTATCCAAACCATTCGAAAAATTTTCTTATAAATACCATTTCCAAAAGACCTGTGGTTTTCCAATTTTTTTTTACCGAAAAAACAATAAAAAATAAAAAATAATTCACTTATTACAAAAACAACAACAAAAAGAAAACACTAATTATAACAAAACTCTAATTAATAATAATAAATTGAAAAATGTCTGACGAACAAAATTCCATTCCTGAAACCCAAGCACAAGTAATTATTATTCACAATTAGTACAACATTTTTCTTTTTAAACATTTCTAATTTCTAATCAATTTGTTGTGTAGCCTGTAAAATCTGATTCTTCTGAACAAAGAAGCGAAAAATCATACAAAGCTGTTGCCCATAATCCTAGAGTTTCTCACGAAGCTAGGTAAATTAACCATATTTTTTTTTAAAATCAAAATAATTTTAAAAATTTACTAATCACGTTTTCTTCACCCCAAAAAGAGTAAATGCCGCAGAAAAATTGTCAGAACTTCATAAAGAACGTACAGGAGAAGAACTTGATCCTCAACATGAAGCGTCCATTGGTGACAAAAAAGCTGAATTAAGAGAATAAGAAAATTAATAACATTTTTTACAATTCCTTTTTGATATACATTTTTAGTTTTTTTGATTTTTTATTTTTTTGATTTTTTAAAAATATTTTTTGACGCTCTAAATATTTTTATGATTATGTATATAAAAAGTAAAGGCTGTGCTTTAAAATAATAATAAATAAAAATCTTTTTTTTACTTTAATTAATAATTTCGGTTTTTGCTGCTCTGATTGAATTTTTTTATCCAAAATTTCATTTTATTTATAACCTTTGCTTTTTATATTTTATATTATTGCCTTCATCGTCACACTTCAATTATTCTAACGCTAGGTCACTATTTATTATCGTCATATTCCATTTCTATTCTGCATTATCTCCTGCAACTCTTAAAGATAGATATAGCTATCAAAAATATCAATTTAACGATTATTATTATTATCTCAATTCATACTTTTGACGAAGAGTTTCTTTTCCTATTTAAAGCTACCAAGGATCACCCTTAAAACAAAAAATTAATTTCAAAATCCCCATTAATTAAAAGTATCAAGTATTTACCGTAAAGTCCATAAAGATAGCAGCTCGCGACAAATAACAATCTCTATAAAATTGTGACGATTAATATTAAATAAATTGTGCGTGACAAACCATAAAAATACAAAAGGGCAATGTTACTGAGCGCTACCTTTACGGTATTAAATGCAACTATTTTTTATTTTGTAGTTTTGTCTTTCTTTTTTTATACACGTTAAATTGTATTATCGTTGTGCCTTTTTCTATTCAAACTTTCAAATAGTTTCAAAATAAATGTGTTCCTAACCGAAAATCATTTTTACGAATATTCGAAAATCAATTTATTCAAGGATATTTGAATATATATAATTTATTTCGTAATTATTATGGATACTCGTAATTATTTTGGATACAAATGATTATCGATTGATAACAAATAGTACTAACTTATTTGTATTTTATTTGTATTTTATCTAATAAAAATTTTTTAAGATAATAAAAAAATAACTTATATTGCTACAACAATTTAAATATTTTTTCAGAAACGTTTTCATTTATAAAATAACTTTTTCTCATTCTTGAGTTTCTCAACTTTCAAATATGAATGGTTCAATTGATTTAACATTAGAAGATGAGCCAACTCAAGTTTATGAAGAATATGAAGGATATCCAACAACCGATTCTGAAACCTTACCATCCATTTTGCCATTACCAAATAATTCGTCGACCACTACCAGCCAAAAAAATCATTATAAGAGAGGTAGGCCTTGTGAGAGTTTCATTTGGCAACACTTTAGTGATCATGATTTGAATAATGTTTCTATTTTAAAACAAATATTGCAACCTGATAATGATGTGGTTGGTAATTATAATGAAATA